TTGCCTGGGGCCTGCCATGCCCCGAAGATAGCGGTCAAGACTCCACTGCGCTGACATCGGTGTATTGTACTCCGACTTGATGGCTGCCTCCAGGTCCGCCTTCTGAACGCCCAACACCACGAGGTTGAGAACACAGTATCGCACGTCAGGAGCTGCTCCACCAGGTTTGGGTACCACTGCCACCAATGGCTTCCAGGAAGGACTGATATCGCCCTTCGTCTTGTCAGCGAAATATCGAAATTGTGGCGCCAGACGTGTGAGGTGCTTCTTGGTGTTTTGGAGTGCCATCTCACGCGATACCTGACAAGGGCTTTTGTCGCCCGATATGTAGATTTCATGGGACACTCCTCCGACATCACTGGCTGCGAAACGTTCCCATGAGCCTTCTTGTTTGCGTAACGCCCCCAGTGCCTGTGCAACTTTACGAGAGCTGTACGCCGTATTTCCATTGACCTGGAGCACAAGCCTCTTCGCGACCGCGCCCCCCTGCATCTCCAACTCATCGACCTTAAGCTGACTCCGCTGCAGCCATCTGCTGATCGCCACCATGACCGCCTTCTTGGGGAGCGTGCCCTTGGAGTGAAGGATGATGATCGTGCTGTCGACTTCTTTGTCAAATCCAGGCGCATCTGCTCCCACTGATTTGGGCGCGACCCCCGACTTGACCTCACCGAGAACCATGAGCAGGTGTTGGACCTGCTGCTCCAGTTGGTTGATCATTTCCTATGACTGCTTGCTATTCTCCTCTGCCAATGATAACCGTTGCTCGCACCGCATAGAAAGATTCGCGAAAGACTTGTTGACTGTTTTGGTGAGCGTGGTCGATGCCTGCGACATGTTCTCCTGCTGTTCCCCCATCTTGATTGCTGCCAGCATGTCATCCTTCGCTGAGTCCGCGTCATTTTTGAGCGACTCCAAGGAGAGGGATCCGTTTCCCACTCGCCGTCGTGGGCACCGGTCCGATCCAGAGCCGTTAGCATCGATTGTCTGCGCTTCCCCACAAGATTCCAGCTACTCACCGTTACCAGCACGAGGAGGAGAGTGGACAGCGCTCGCAGAGAAGGAATCCCCATGAGACATTGCTGCAGCTTCCGAGCGAGGGCAGACGTACTATAGCCAGAATGCGACAGTAAGCTGGCGATCCCGCCAAGAAAGGGGGCCAGGTGCCTTGATGCTTGGCTCTTGGGCCCTCACCGAGTACACCCTCCACGACCGACGAAGGGTGGCTTGGGGCAATGGCCTTGAGCCAAAATGGCTACGGATGGGTTTATACTGGCCCTCCTCCTCCTCCTCCACCTACTCCTCCTCCACCACCTCCACTCTCTCCCTCCCTCCCTTCCTCCCTCCCCCCCTCCCTCCTCCTCCTCCCTCCCTCCCCCTTTTCCCGTCCCCCTCTCCCTCCCTCTCCCCCTCCATTCTCCCCCTCTCCATCCCCCTTCCCCTCCCCCTCCTCTTCCTACTCCTCCTCCTCCTCTTCCTCCTCCTCCTCCTCTCCTCCTCCTCCTCCCTCCCTCCCTCCCTCCCTCCCTCCCTCCCTCCCTCCCTCCTCCTCCGCGGCTTCCCTCGTTCTCCTCCGTCCCCCTCCTCCTACCCTTCCCTTCCTCTGTCTGACTACGCCACCGCTATCCTCCTTCCGCTGACTTCTGGCCGATTGTGCTTGCATGCGGCCTCAGGGGGCGGCCCTGGGAGCACCAAAAGAAGGATCCCAGGGACGATGGCAAAAAGGCCCGATAAGATGGTCAAAATATCCGAGGACAGCGGAGGTATCGGAGGTCTGGGCTCGGTCTACTCCTCTCTCTCCTCGTGAATGACTCAACGTCTTCTGCCTTCTCTCGACTCACGCCAAATCTCCCACGGCTCATTCAGAATCATACGAATGCGCATCTAACCTCAACGTATCTGAACGCATCGAACTGCATCCGCTCATGTCTGCTGACCAGGCTTTATCGCCGAAGTTGGACCAGACGTGTCCAAACGTGTCGCCGAGCACTTTAAGAGTCTCCCCCCCCCCGGTGCCTCCGTCCCTACTCCTCCTCCTCCTCCTCCAGAACCGAGGTGGCATTAAGGATCGAGCATCGAGGACCTTAGACGCGTCTCAGCCTTGCCGGGCGTCTGTGGGCCACCAGCAGCATCTAGAGATCTCCACAGGCAGCCTGGCGGCCTCCACAGGCCAAGCCAGTCTCGTCCTTCTCCTTCTCTCCAACTCGTGATTCTGCAAACCTCCACAGTGTCATCAACAACCTCGCCATCACGAACCTTATCATCATTAACATCATCATCATCATCATCATCATCATCATCATCATCATCAGCATCATCATCATCAGCAGCAGCAGCATCATCGTCACCATCAGCATCATCTTCATAATACTCATCAGCAGCAGCAACACCAGCATCATCAGCTGCATCAGGATCATCATCATAATCATCATCATCAGCATCATCATCATCATCAGCATCATCATCATCATCATCATCAACATCAGCATCATCAGCATCATCAGCAGCATCATCAGCAGCACCATCGTCATCATCGTCATCAGCATCAACATCATCATCGCCAGCATCATCATCAGCAGCATCAGCATCAGCAGCATCAGCATTGATCTGCCTCATCATCCTCATCATCAGCATCAACAACATCATCATCATCATCATCATCATCATCATCATCATCATCATCATCATCCTCAGCATCGTCATCACAATCCTCATCATCCTCATCCGCATTATCATCATCATCATCAGCATCATCATCATCATCCTCATCATCCTCATCAATATCCGCATCATCATCAGCATCAACAACAGTATCATCATCGGCGTCATTCGCATGATCATTTCTCTTCTCCGTCATCAGCATCGCCGTCACCATCGTCGAAATCATCTTCATCACCAACAACATCGTCCTCGACAGCGTTGTCATCGTCAACATGGTCATCAGCATTGTCACAGTCATCATCGTTATCATAGTCAGCCACCTCATCATCATCATCATCATCACCATCATCATCATCATCATCATCATCATCATCATCATCATCATCATCATCATCATCATCGTCGTCGTCGTCGTCGTCGTCGTCGTCGTCGTCGTCGTCGTCGTCACCATCTTCAGCATCATCGCCAGCAGTACCATGAGTATGGTCGTCATCATCACCCGCATCAGCATAATCATCATCAGCATCATGATCATCATCATCATAATCAGCAGCATCGCCACCACCACCATCATCATCATCATCATCAGCATCGTCAGCAGCAGCATCATAATCATCGTGATCATCATCACCATCAGCATCTTCATCGTCCTCAGCAGCATCACCATCTCCACCATCATCATGATCATTGTCATCGACGCCATCATCAGTATCAGTATCAACGTCATTATAGTTATCGGCAGTAGCGTCATCACCATCGTAGCCCCAACTATCAGCATCTTCAGCAGCATTATCATCATAACCAGCATCAGCATCAGTATCAT